TTTGTTTCGTTGACTTATAGTAGGTAAATACGAAAAATAGATTCTACATAGACGCATCGGAAGTTACTTATGACTCGACCTAATAAATATGAGCTTACATGTTCAGGGTTTGATTTGATCGCCATAATCCTGATCACCAACAAGATATAAAAATTGAAATGCTATGGCAAGTAAACTGATGCCAAGTAAATCACCCATTGCTGTCAAATATGGTATTGCCGAATTATCAGGATCTATTTTTCTTTTCCACATCCAATGTATCATAATATATGCGATATACAAAAGTGCAGCCACTTGTAACACAGCAGCACAAAGATATACAAATACGAATAATGGTGTTAAAGATGTATTACCATCTTTCATATAATTAATTAGATAAATAAAAATTATGTGACCGGGTATCACCATGGACATCAATACTCTCGTTGTTCTTGCATGTATACCTACAAAAAAAAAAAAAAGAAAAGAGAAAAGTAATTAAAAAATTAAAAAATTAAATCAAATTCATGACTTATTGATTTTATTAAAACTTAGATATAAAAAGATTGATTATTATTATGATTATTATTATTATAAATAATATATAATATTAATAGTAATATAATACCTTTGCCAAAGAAATTAGCTATTGGCGTGATGAAAATGACAGGATGAGTTTGACCAGTTGGTATCAAAAGAGTCCCAAGTTCAGCTTGTTTGTGTAATGCAGTTGATATTCTACTAGCTTGAACTGCAACAAGATTTCCACCAACTCCATTAATCACAGGTTGAAAAACTGTCAGATTTTCGAAACGTGAGACCATGAATTCTAATATCAAACCACCGCAACTGAAAATAAAAAATATCATTGAAAATTTAATATAAATTTAATATAATATAATATTTAATATTATTCAATTAATATTATTAAATATAATATATAATAGAATATTATATTATATTATATTGAACATGTAGGGGGGGCCTTCGGGGTAAACACCCTAAAAGGGTATACCTGAAATAAACTTCTTATATTATTATATTATATTATATTTAATTTTATTAAAAATTAAAATTATATTATATAATATATTTTGTATTATATTATATTATATATATTATATATTACATATTATATATTTATTATATTATAATATATTATATAATATATTTTTTTAATAAATATAAAATTATATTATATAATTTTATTAAATATAAAAATCATATTATATAATATATATATTTAAATATATATATTTAAATTTATATTATATTATATTATATTATATTTAATTTTATTAAATATTAAAATTATAATATATTATATATATATAGTTTTAATAAAAATATAAAAATTATATTATAATATATATAATTTTGTATTTAAATTTGTATTATATTTAATATAATAGAATATTATATTATATATATATTTAATTTTAATAAATATAAAAATTATATTATATCAAATATAATTTTATATATATTTAAATTTATATTATTATATATAATATTATATTAAATATACTCATAAATTGTTATTTAACAAAATCTAACACAATAAATATATAAATTCTAATTTCAAATACAATAAATAATAATAAAAATATATAATAACCTGCTAATTAACATGGCAACCATGACAGGTGTCCATCCAGAATATAACACGTCATTGGTATATTTATTCCTTTTTGCAATCCAAACCCAAAGTGGTGTTACAAGAACATAACAAGCAATGACAAGTGGTGCCAACCAATCCTGTTTATCGATGGATTCATAAAGTATCGTCGAGATCCATGAAAGAAGGGCTAATGACGTGATGTCACCAAGACTGGCAGCAATAGGCGTTGCTACGTTGTCAGGATTGATATGACAATGACGTGAAAATACTATGACACCTGCGGTTATCAAACCGAGTACGAAGGAAGCCAATGATGCTGTAACTAAACTGCTGGCACACAACAGGTATGCATGATCCAAAGAAACTGTACCATTTCTAAAAGCACCCATCACTATTGCAACCACTGATCCAAGAAAACCAACCACTATTGCTTGACACTGTAATCATTAATAATATATTATTAGATTTATCAATAATTTTTCATTTATGTTCAACCTATATAAATATATGAGAACACATCGATGAACTCCATAAAACATAAAAGTTAATGTGTTGCTATGAAATAATGTATGGTAATATTGTTCTTAAAAATTCCTTTCAATGGTTAAACAAGTTTTGCCGTTTAATGATGTTAATCTTTATTATTCAAGAAAGTTATTATAAATATAAAAAGTTATGACTATACTAAGTGCTTTGACACTTAAATTTAAGGTTTTTCAAAAAGTCGAGTTAATCGATGTGTGCACTGAACGGTTCATATATAAATATATTTTATATAATATGTGTATATATATATTATAATTATTATTATTGTTATTATTATTATTATTATTAATAATATATTATTATAATTATTATTATAATTATTATTATAACATATAATATATAACAATTATATATATAATAAATTTATATTAAAATATTAATTATATTAAAATTATACAAATTTTATTATATATACTTATCAAAATTATAAAAAAAATATTAAAATTTATATTAAAGTATATATTATATAACAAATATATAATTTATCAATTATATAATATTTAAAAAATAAATATAATATATAAATTTATATTAAAATATTAATTACATTAAAATTTATAAAAAATTATACAAATTTTATGATATATAATTATAAAAATTATAAAAAAAATACTAAAATTTATATTAAAATATATATTATATAACAAATATAAAATTTACCAATTATATAATATATAAAAAATAAATATAATATATAAATTTATATTAAAAATTATTATATGTTATAATATATATTTCCTATATAAATAAAAATTATATTAATATTTAAGTTATTATAATTATAATATATATTAATATTATAATTATATTATATTAAATTTAAATTATATTTAAATATAATAAATATAATAAATTATATAAAAATATAATTTTATTAAATATAAATATATTAAATACAATAAAATAATATTATATATAAATTACAATTTAAATTATATTATATTTATATTAAAATTTATACAAAATTATATATATTATATTGTTATTATATGTTATAATATACATATTTGTTATATAAATGAAAATTATAATTACATTTAAGTTATTATAATTATAATATACATATTATAACATATAATATATCAAAATTATATAATAAATTTATAATATATATATATATATAAATTTTATTTCATTGACATTAGATGAAATTGTAAAAACACGTGGTCTCTCGTACCTGTCTGCGTCGTAAAAAAACGTTAAATAAATAAAATAAAAAAAAAAAAAATAAAAATTGTGGCGCCATACGATAAGCTTAAAAAAGTTCAGAATCTGTCATTTTCAACGTGTGTTATTCAAGTTTTCGTAATAAGAGGAAGAAGAAGAAGAAGAAGAAGAAGAAGAAGAAGAAGAAGGAGAAGAAATAATCGAATCTGAATTATCTAGGAAATCGTTTGCAAATTCTTCTTCTCTCAGAAGTAACACATAAAAAAAAAAACAATAAAAAAGAAAAAAAACCAACACGTTTTATACGTAAAACAAACGTAGATATTAAGTGCAAACAATGTAAACGACGCGCCGTCGAGAGATAAACCGAGAAAAAGAAGAAGAAACAGATGAAAAAAAAAAAAAAAGAAAAAGAAAAGAAAAAAAAACGTTTTCGAATATCAACGTTAACGTAACGCTGATAATTAGCAAATAACTTGCTTAGAGTTTGTTTCACAAGACCAAAAATAAAAAAAAATAAAATACTTGAGGGTTAGTAAGAGAGGTAGAGGAATCAAATTCTTACCTGTATCAAAACGAGATTTCCAACGATCATGTACCATTGTTGTTTAGGAGTGTCCATGTGTCCAAGATTTGCTTGGGTTGAAAGACGAGATGCCAATGTCATTTCTAAATTACCTTTTAAACCTAAAAGTGCTGGTACTAGGATCATAAGTTCGTTAACCCTATCAAATACGACCCAGTGCTGTAAAATACAAATAAAAAATATATCTCAGTTATATATATTTCAATTATATTTATATTTATAATTATTTAATTATTTAATTAATATTAATATTTTTTAAATATAATATAAAACATAAAATATAAATTTTAATTATGTGTATCTCTATACATACATTTAATTTAATTTATAATGTAAAGTAATTATAAATAATGCGCTATTTATAAAACTAATTTAATTTAAAATTAATTATTATTATTATAATAATATATAATATTATTCTATATTATTAATATTAATATATATATTAATTAATTTAAAATTAAATATATATATAAGTTAGTTATTAATTTAAAAAAACTAAAAATGAAAAATATATTTAAAAAAAAGCACACACACACAAACTAACAATAAGATTAATTTAAAAATAAATATATTATCCAATTTGGGTTATAGAATTACGGTGACTTTAACGCGTGTTTAAGAAAATCCAATTATATCCAATTATAGTGAATCTCTTTAAAATACCAAGAACGTCCTTTTTT